CGTTGACATTTTCAATTAAATGCGACTTGTATGTGATCTCCAGTGTGAACTTTAAACGCCCCAAAAGTGTCCCGCATTAGTCCCGCTCTAGTATTATTAGAGTATTGGAGGACAAAACGCCGTCACACGCAGTGAGGGTGCTCCGTATTTTCAGAAGTTGCCTAAACGCTGGGCTTGTCTCCCAAAATACGGCCCAGTTCTTCGTAAAATGTACAGGTTACACATCCATGGCCACTTCGTTTGAATCTTTAGCTTCCTTTTATTTGGCTCGCAGGCTCTTTATTTTTCGTTGACAATGGAGCCAGGACGTCTGTAGCCGCGCTCGGACATTTCTTTGGCAATCATTATATAACACTCCTCCAATTTGGCCTGAATACAGCGATCCCCCCAAATATTAATAAACTCGCTGATCTCGCTTTCCCTCCATTGACTAGACTCTGATTCTGACGTGTAGGTGGCATGAATGTGACCTGACCGTTCAGACTGAAGTCGCATGTCAAAAGGTTGGATATGTATCGGTTTTAGGAGCACATGTCCAAGTGGCCTGAAAAATCAGATCTGTGTCGTTCAGACTGTCATTAAAAGATCAGATACAGGAGCATAGGGGCAAAAAAAATCTGATTTAGGTCACTTCAGGCTGCAGTCTGAACGTAATCAAAAATGCATGGTTTGAACAGGGAATGGACGAAACAAAGCTTATACATTTCCAATCCCCTCCCACACGTCACAGAACAGCACTTCAATTATACATGTACATTATATTATACATGACAAAACCAAACACACATTCACACACTCATCCAGACACACTATAGTATCGATACCTGCTCCAATGTAGTTTCGATACTAGTTTTATTATCGATTAGTATCTGATTTTCTTTACTTCTGACAACACGATTCTCTACAGGACAAACAAACCCAGTGAGTAACAAAACTACTCAGAGAAACAGCGGTAATGACTGTTAGAATGATGAATGGGCAGTAATAGTACTACGGTGGCCCAGATGGCTCATACATATGGGCCCTGTCACGCGCACACACATTTCCGCACATAAACACACATAAACATTGGCAGATACAGCCTCTCTCGCGCGTTCTCACACCTCCTGAAGCTAACAGACAACTCAACAGACAACACATGTGGGGGTGCAGACACATTAGGCGGGCGAGCAGCAGCGTCGCTAATGCTCTTTTAACTGCTGTCATTAGAGCAGAGATGGAGGGTCGGGCTCATCTCTGTTATGGTGACTGTGTGATGCCGCGTTAAGATTGTTTATTATGGAGGGGGGAGAGATCCGGGCTGACGTCATGGTGTTTGGGAGTGAAACAGCGGTGGTCAAAAGGCGGGAATGACCAAATAAGGTTGTTAAAAATATTGACAGACAGATTTGATGCGATATTGAAAATACATATTTAGTTGAACAAGTATCTGTACTGCAAAAAACATAATGTAAAAATGACAAAGCCTGACCTTCAATAGACTCTATTCATGCTTATGTTACAAACCAGGAAGATGTTTGGAAAGATGCAATGACAACTTCCAGCTGGCTCTGTTTGCGATAGTAAAGCCCCATCCACACGAGTGCATATTTGAGTTGTTTTCGTTGTGGATGCAGTATTCGTCCACACTAATCCGATGGAAAACGGCTCCAGAAACAGAATGATCTGGTGCTGCCAGCTCCCATGAGTTCATCTGAGTACAGATCTGATCCGGCACTGTGTGGACGCCTGAAAACGCTGATACGCTGATGTAGGAGCTCTAGTTGCGTTCTTATTGGACCACGTCACTGTGACTTGTGCCTTCCTGATTCGCTGGGTTCGTGACATCGGTCATGTGACGCTATTGTGGAAAACAGTTTAAACAAACCAGAGACAAATGGGAAACAGCGTAAATAGAACTACTTGCTAGTACACAGTCCATGAAAAGATTGTTTTCATGTTTGCCATCTTCCTCGGCTCGAAATTGGCTGCTGCAACTTCGGACACGGTCAGCAGAACACCCCTCTGTCACAGAAAGAACACTCATATTCCACTGAGTCGTGTCCTTTAGTCCGACAGAAGCTGAATCGCATCAACCCACAATAACGAGCTGTTTTTTGAGCGTGTAGTTTATGCAAATTAGCCATTTGATTTTAAATTTTGTTTCTGTAAAACGTAAACAAATATGCTCAAAGCTGTGTGGATAGGGAAGGCTTGCGGACACAGAAAGGACGTGTCTGGACGCAAATCGTTTCCGATACAGTGATAGGGTGATTCGTTCCAGTGTAAACGTAACCTTATAATGTTTTATAAGCTTCACTTTCATTTTTGACGATCTGAGTCTCATTCTCTTTGCTCTCCGTGCTAAGTCACTCCCCCTTCAGGGCGCTATCGCAACACAATCAGCGTGCATCCCGCTAATGAAACTGAGTAGAAGCTAGTTTTGTATATACCACGCGATTATACAGCAAAATTTTAAAAATTCGCCACTTTAAACTAAAAACATCCTTTTGATGGGCCAGAGCCAGATCCAATATTGTATCATTATCAGACAGTAATGCTCTCCGATGAAATGTGACATATTGGAAATTAATATCGGCCACTTAGTATAATTTAATCTATTACTGATCTGAACTGCCTTAAACGCCTCACATCGACACATTCAACATTTAATATAATTTCTCAAATTAATAAAGTGTGTGTGACGGTCTAATAAGAAAGCAAAGGGGTAGGTCCGCTGAAATTATCCTCAAGGTCAAAGCAGGAGGATAATCAAAAGCGGAGGTTGTTAATACTGTAGTCGTGTCCTTTCTCAAGATATTTCACCCACTTTGATTAATGATGAATGAGCGTAGAGATGTGTGAGAAGTTGATGGCGGCATGAGAAGCACAACATGTCACATCTGTAAACCAAAGGGCAGATACGGCTCAAATGACAGTGATTTTAACTCGTGTGTTTGGGGAAATGCAATGGTACAGAAAGCCATATATCTGATGCTGAACTGCGCTGCTTAAACGCTGTAATTGAAAACTAATGAGCCAAAACAAAAGCTATAACTCATTTCATAATGTTGTCACGAGATAAACAGATGGAACAAGAATATAGTGGAGGCAGGAACGTGACCCAAATGAAACTTGTTGCATTGTTCTAGTTTCATATTAAAATAATTTTGTTTTATATAGTGTGTTTCATGATACCATAAGCGGCTGACATTATCGTTGTGAAAAGTATTGAAAATCAGATAATCTAATCGATACTGAAACTACTGTAGTATCGAAATTAGAGCAGGTCCTGATACTGAAAAAGTCACATTTACAGGACAGACATGAAGCTTTCCTGAATAGCTTTAGAATGATCTTGAGCTGTATCAGAACAAGTATAAGAGCACATAAGGACCACTGGGGGATTACACAGATATAAGACCACATGGGAATATAAAAGAAATTACAGTATTTTTTGGACTATAAATCGCACTTTTCTTTCATGGTTTGGGTGTTTCCTGCGACTTATATATTAAAATTTTCACACTGAAGTCGTGAGAGGTTCAAGTCTTGTGTGTCGGTATCTGCTGCTCCTGTTCCTCCTGAACCACTGTCACTTCACTCTACTGCACATGTCTCCTGCAGAAAGAGCCTTTGTCCTGTTTGTATCATGTCAGTCGATCGCAGCACTGAAAATTTTTAATTTAAACAAACTTATAAAGACGACTGAGAAGACTGAACACATATGCCCCCAAAAAGAAAATCATACTTTGCAGATTACAAGCTGCAAGTAGAGAAATCTGCAGCTGAAAACGTAATCAAGCAGCAGAAAGGAAGTTTTGGAGTAAGCGAGAAAAAGACACCAGGAGGATGCACCATGCAACTTTCCAGAAGTCACTGGATGGATGGACAAAGTCCTGGACTTCAGTGACACCGAAACCATCCTGTCGGGATTCAGAAAGGCTGGAATAATTCTAACTGGAACTGATGCTGAGTCTGACGACAGCGACACAGAAGAGGAAGCGGCGTCTGTTTACCTCCGGAGGTCGCGGAGTTGCTCAGAAGTGACACCGAGGATGAAGAATTGAGTGGATTTAGTGATTTGGAGTGAGATGGAGAGTTTAGTAAACTTGTTCTGTTCTGTTGTTTATGTTATAGTTTATCTGAAGAACTGTTCATATGTGATGTTAACAGTCTGTTGTTCTGTCTGTCTGTCTCTTCTGTTGTTGTTACTGGAACTTGACTTTTAAAATGAAATGTCGGGTTTTGGATTCTGATTTTAAAAAATAAATTTCCCCAAAAAAGTGTGACTTATAGTCCGTTGTGACTTATATATGTTTTATTTCTTCTTCATTTTGCATTTTTTGGCTGGTGCGACTTATACTCCAGAGGAACTTTTAGTCCAAAAAGTACGGTACTACGATTTAATACTGAAAATCACATTCTATTGCCTAAATAAAGAGTGTTTTTAATTTTCATTGTGGGATCAGAATCTGTATTAAAGGTACATAACACGTCGAGGCTCCAGCACCTGCTTGTCTCCATGGAAATATTATTGCTTTGTACAGAATGTTCAACAGTACAGATTAAATCTATCAGAAGAAAAACAAGCAGGTTACAGCACTACGCTACATTACAATTCAGATCTGTGGAGAGTTGCCCCTATTCACAGAAGGAATTGTTGTATTTTTGAGCAACAGAAAGACCTCTAATCAATAAATGCGAGATGACTGAGCTTGCAATGTTACATGAATGTGAAATTATTACAAAAGATCACTGGTATTTTGGTATTTTTCTCTTGCAATTTCACTCATTCATTAATAAGATGAGCATTAAATCTGAAAACTACAAGAACTGTTAATACATTAAAACATTAGTAGCTGTTTAGTGCTTAGTGGAGAGAATTTGAGCGCTTACATGAGCAAAAATGAGTCAGCTACTGTTTTTAGAGACAATTTTGGCAAATCTCCCACGCTTAATTACAGCATCGTTAAAAGTTCAGTAAAGTAAGTTGAATGTAGTAATTAGAAGAGTCTTACCTGAGCTGCAATGGCCCAGAATCGTGCCTCAAGGGAATCCAACGTCATCTGAACTCCAACAGCTGTGGAGAGATACAGACACAAAATAAGATTAAGTATAATACAATAGCAACAGAATAAACAACACGCTGAAAATTATGAGAAAAATCTGGACTAAAGGTGCACTGTGTAACTTTTCTGGTGGATGGTCTGCTGTCTGCTTGTCTCCATGGAGATGTTATTGGTTTGGCTAGAATGTTCCACAGTATGGCATTGTGCTAATGTATCTGTCGTAGCAGGACAGGAAGGTGGGCAGACCAAGTTACAGGTCAGATCTGTGGAGATGTGACCCTGCCATAGAGCTGTCAAAAGTATTGAAAATCTACTACAAATCAATGTTTATGAAAAAAGTCACATTTACAGGACAGAAATGAAACTTTCCTGAACAGCTTTAGAATGATCTTGAACTGTGTATCAGAACGAAGTACAAGAGCACATAGACTAGTACCATATTTTTCGGACTATAAGTTGCGCTTTTTTCATGGTTTGAGTGTGTCCTGCAACTTATATATTAGACTAGATACTGTCAGTGTGTCTTGTGTGTCAGTATCTGCTGCTCCTGTTCCTCCTGTACCACTGTCACTTCAGTCTACTGCACATGTCTCCTGCAGAAAGAGCCTCTGTCCTGTCTGTATCATGTCAGTCATTCACACCATTACATCTGTACCACAGAAAATGTTTTATTTAAACAAACTTATAAAGACGACTGGGAAGACTGAACACAAATGCCCCCAAAAAGAAAATCATACTTTGTAGATTACAAGCTGCAAGTAGCAAAATATACAGCAGGAAACGGTAATCGAGCAGCAGAAAGAAAGTTTTGGAGTGAGCGAGAAACTTGTGACACCAGGAGGATGCACCATGAAACTTTTCTGGAAATCACTGGATGGATGGACAAAGTCTGGACTTCAGTGACACCGAAATCATCCTGTCGGGATTCAGAAAGGCCGGAATAATTCTAACTGGAACTGACGCTGAGTCTGACGACAGCGACACAGAAGAGGAAGCGGCGTCTGTTTACCTCTGGAAGTTGTGGAGTTGCTCAGAAGTGACACGAAGGATGAAGAACTGAATGGATTTAGTGATTTGGAGTGAGATGGAGAGTTTGTTAAACTTGTTCTGTTCTGTTGTTTATGTTTTAGTTTATCTGAAGAACTGTTCATATGTGACGTTAACAGTCTGTTGTTCTCTGTTCTATTGTTTTTACTAGAACTTGCCTTTCAAGATGAAATGTCGGTTCCTGGTCTCTGATTTTATAAAATAAATTTCCCCCAAAACATGCGACTTATAGTCCGGTGCGACTTGTATATGTTTTTTTCTTTTTCATTACGCAGTTTTTGACTGATACGACTTATACTCTGGAGCGACTTATAGTCCGAAAAATACTATATACGTCCATGGACACTGTGGAACCTACCTGGACCACTGTGGGATCACACAGATATAAGACCAGATGGGAATATAAAAGAAAGTACTACAATTTAATACTGAAAATCATATTCTATTGTCTACATAAAAAGTGTTTTTTAATGATCATTGTGGTACCAGAATCGGAATTGAGTATCAAGTCTGTTCTTTAGTATTGAAATTTTAGTATAACAACAACACTAACTTGCTCACTGTAAGAATGCATATTTTCAGAGCATTATTGACCAATAAAACCACCCATAATTAAATAGATGATAAATCGATAAGTTTAATGCCATAGTGTTGAACATTCCAGGGAACTCAACGACATCTCCACGGAAACAAGCAGACGGCGTATACACCTTAATAGAAAAGTTACATAAGGCCCATTTAAATCACAGTCAGAAAAATAAAAAGTAATCGAAGAAACTCCTCTGTACAACTTGAACTGTCTGCATTGTAGCTGAACGGACCAATTATGGGTATTTTTCAGGAAGCTGTCAGTAAAAGAAGGTTAGAAAATGAAACTCAGATCTGTATAACTTTTCTGTGGAAGAGAGATTTCATTAGAATGAGTGGTGTTAAATTATGTCGTTATTTATTTCCTTGTGAATGTGAAGTCAGTTCTTGCCGCGCTTGACGCTTTTCTGCAATTTATTGTATCATGAAAAATGGTTTGTCATTATTATAAATCTAGAGTTATTTACACTCAAAAATATTACACTGACTCTACATTAATATATTATGTCACTTTTATTCTATCAATTTAAGCAAACAACAAGGACACAACTGGGTCCAAACATGAATTGCTGAGATTCTTGTTACATTTATTTAAAGTCTAAAGTCCAATATTACACAAAATTGACTCTTGTGAGCTTTAAGCAATGTTATAATGTTGTTAACTCGTCAAAAACAGACCTGGAGTTGTGCGTTGACTTATTTGCACATATATGAAAGTGTAGAGAGCGTTTCTTATTAAATTCATATTGTTTTTTATGTAAATTAAATGTAAATGAGTGTTGTGGTGTTCGTAGCTGGATGTCAGTGAATTAGAATATAACAAATTTGGCTGCTTAAGAATGCTTTGTGAATATGTTTTCTCAGCATATTCAGAAAGTGAAAGTTACAAAAAAACAGTACGAAAACATTTATGAATGACGCCCAATAAATAAAATTTCTTCTTAGTCCTTTTCGAACTTGTCTAATTTGATGTTATGTTACTTACTGGGAAAGGTGGAACCAAGTCGTTGTTTTGCGAGTTTCAAGTCTTTGACCTCAAGTCCAAGTCAAAAACAAGCAAGTCCAAGTCGAGTCTCAAGTCACAGGCCCATAAGTTCAAAGTCAAGTCCAAGTCGTCTGCTTTGAGCTTCAAGTCATTTCAAATCTTTAAACGAAAGTACCAGATTTTTGCAATTTCTATGAATTTTAATCAAAATTGTACTTAAAAAGTCACGGTATATTTATGTTTGAGTATTTATATAGTTGCAGAAAAGCATCTTGGGAAGATTTTTTGTGAATCGTTATGGTCAGAATAGAAAGAATTAAGATTTAAATGTGCTTAGGAACAGTTATTTAGTCATGTAGTCTGCCCTGAAATGGAAGGATAATGTTCTATGTACTTCCCTCTGTTTTACTGTATTGTACTTTATATTACTGTAGAACATTCGAGGGTACCACATCACAGTACTTCAGTTCCATCCAAAGTAACAAATAGAGAAGTGGGACGGACGTGTTCCAGTTTGTTCCTGTAAAACTCAGCACCACATTTATCAAGTGTAAAGAGAAAGTATTTTCTAAAAACATATTTTTTTTTAGGAGAAGCATCAAGTCTTCTCAAGTCACAGGCCTCAAGTCCAAGTCCTGAATCATTGACCTTCAAGTCCAAGTCGAGTCCCAAGTCTTAGGCTGCGTTCAGACTGCAGCCTGAAGTGACCCAAATCCGATTTTTTGGCCTCTATGTGACCTGTATCTGATCTTTTAATGACAGTCTGAACGACACAGATGCGATTTTTTTCAAATGTGACCCAGGACACTTGGATATGTGCTCCTGAAACTGATACATATCTGATCTTTTGACATGCGACTTCAGTCTGAACGGCCAAAGCGCATTCATCCACCTACACGTTATCAACAAGCCACAAACGTCACTATTCTGCGCTGAAGTAGGTGAAAATTGTTAATGAACTCTGTGTCACTGAAGTGAAGCACATCACCACTCACCACTCTTGGCTCCGTCTCCACATCCACACGTTCCACATCAACACGTTCCTTTCAACGTCGCTGCCGCTGTCCCACAAAACACCATGACTAAAAACCTCGTCCTTCTCCTTCTCAATCTCCTCCTTCAAACAAGTAAGTTGTTCATGTTCTGGCTCCGGTACGAGAGGAACTTTAAAATCTCCAGGTGCTCAATGCTCACGTCCATGTTTGAACAACTTCTGTAAACACAGAGCACGCTCGCTGCGGTTGACTTCATCGTGTCTCCAGTGTCACATGCGGGACACTTTCGGGCTGTTTACTGTTCACACTGGAGTCACATACAAGTCGCATTTAATTGGAAATGTGAACGACCTCGCAAAAACATCGGATTTCACAAAAAAATCGGAATTGAGCGTTAAGCCCTGCAGTCTGAACGTAGTCTTAGTCAAGTCTCAAGTCCTAAAAATAGAGACTCAAGCCTGACTCGACTTACAAGTCCTCACCTCTGCATACTGGATGTAGAATTCAGCATGTGCTTAAAAAAATCAATCAATAATTTAACATAATATCACAAAACAGACTTAAAGTTCAAAATGTTACTCAGTAGGTAAGTAGCTGTTTATTTTCTTATTTTTAGTTAGTAACATCTTTTGTCTGTTCTATCCAGCCGTGTCCATATTCTATAAAGCAGTTTTATAGAACAGCTTTAATTCTTCTAATGCAATGTAATCCTGAGGAGTGCTTTGAAACACTGCCGGCAGATTTTGTTTGAGTTGCATTTTGTGGTTCAAGTGGCCATTTTCGTTTTTTCACTCACATAACAATATATTTTTATTCCATAAACCAGACCGGACCGTTACTCGGGACTTAGCAGAAGTTGTTTCTCACCAAATAGTACTTTACATTTACTTAGTTGTATTTTGTCAGCACATTTTTAGAGCTGTTTTATGGGACTAGTTTAATTCTCCTAATACAATGTTACACTGCACAGTGCTTTGAAATACTGGCTGCTGATTTTGTTAGAGAGCATTTTTCAGTTTAAGTGGGCTTCTTTTATAATGCAGTAAAGCAATGGAACAATCTCCAGACTCAACTAAAAAACCCAAACAAACTCTGTCACATTTTTGGTGAAGCTTAAAGGTTTTATATTACACAGAATTGAATCTTGTGAGCTTTAAAACTCAGGTATAATGTTGTTATCGCATCAAAAACACACTTGGGGTTGTTTTAGTCCATTGAGGTTCATTTGGTATTCCGATATTTTGTGTTATTAGGTTCTTTTTTCAGACCAAGAGTTTGTTTTTCATACAGTTTTGATAAATAAATACTGTATTTTCCGGGCTATTAGATGCGTTCTTAAGCTTCCAACCCCATCAAAAAATGAGTGCGCGCCCCACAATCCAGAGCGCCCTTTACA